TAGAGATCGGCTTGAATAATGTTCTCAGAGTTCCTCCTTGTGATGAAGTGTGCGTGTGATGGAGAGGGGGTGGGGAGCGAGGGGGGTTGGTGATCAGGGACTCCACACACACCCCTTTTTTTTAAATACAGCAAAACATTTCACAACCAACAGTGTTGGCAGAGGAAAAGCTCCCCCAGCCCCTGCTGGCCATCTGGGTGCATCCCGGTGGCTTCTACCCTGTCACCCTGATCCTCCCTCAACCCGACCTCATCTGATGACCCTTCTCGGAGCCAAAAGAATCCCAGACGCCACGTCCACCCCTCCAGCCATGTCCCCGTGCAAACACGTGGGCAACCCAACTCCATGTGCACAGCGAACAAAAGGTGAGGGAGGGTACGGGGCACGGCCCCTCTGAGATAGAGGTAAGGGCAGCCGCCGGCGGATGCCTAGCGTGGCCGGGGGCCCCGCGGCCATGACTGCTTCCTTGCAGGCTGCTCCCTTCGAGGACACCCCTGGAGCAGGGTCAGACTGTCTCCAAGCGGGCAGGTGGGGGCAGAGGCAGGGACTTGGGCCTGAGTTCTTTTCTGATCAGGGGATGGGTCGGCCGAGGGTGAGGAGGCAGGGGCGGAGACCAGAGATTCGCCCCAAAAAGGAGGAAGCGAGAGAAATTGAAATGAGGGGGTTTCATCATGAAATAAGGGGATTCGTGTTGCCTCAAATATAATTTGTGTTCGGTTACATTCCGGTGCCTAATTTATACATAGCCGGGTTGAGAAAGAATTACATTATAACAAAATTAGCCCGAATAATTAGCATAGTGTGCGCGCCGCTGATTAAACACCCAGCAGATAGCCTGGTGATTAAGATCGGTGGGCGCCGAGTTCTGAGGCTTTGTCCTCTTGCCATCTGCCTAACGAGAGCGTCACCTCCTTTCTGGTTTGAAGTTCCATCCCGTCTCCTGTCATTCTCCTGTCCCTTGCTTCTTTCGGTAACCACGGTACTCGAACCCCCGGAGGGGGTGAGACCAGTCCCGCTCACAGCGGCCCTGCAGGACAGAGGAGAACTGTCCCTGTGCGCTTCCGAGGCCATCAGGCTCTACGGGAGCGGACAGCCTCCTCTTTCTCCCCGGAAGCAACTGGAGGTTTCAAACTTGTGGTCAGCAGCCGAGCTTGTAACCCACCTCGGCACCAGAGCAAAGCACGGAGGCTCTGAGATGCAAGGTCCGACACCGTTTCTGAAACCCTGTCTTTCTTGGATCCCAGAGGGAGCCTGCGGGCTGTCACACTCGCTGAAATTGGGCCCGAGATCCAGACTGAAGACAGCTCCTCCCGGTCCAAGCTTCAGTGGCGCTCTGATTTCAGACTCACCTCCAAGTCCATCCCCCTCGGTGAGCTTCCACAGGGTTTCCGAGACAGCCGGTGTTTACAGGAGCAAACAGCCTCTTCTTTCTCCCTCCAAGTGGCTAGTGAGTTTGAAATCCTGACCTTGCCATAAGCAGCCTGATGCTGAACCTGAAGTTCCACCAGGGCGCCTTTCATTTAGGCGTCTCACCTCTGACCCTGTGAGAAAATACAGTTCTGTTTGTGAAAGCCTCCCCTTGTGGTGATCCTGTCCCAGCAGCACGAGGGACTCCGGTGCTGCCCATGTCTGCCTACCCTCCAGCTCTTCGCCTGCACAGAGAAGAGTCTGTAAGTGGAACAGAACCTGAAGGCTCCCCCAGCAGCCGAGAGGGAGCGGGGAACAGAGAGAAAGAGCAAAGGGAGTGAGAGCGGGGTGCGAGGTGGAGGAGGGAACATAAAGCTACACCCCACACCCTAGGCCTTCAGGTGGGCACAGGGTACCGGAGTCAGCCGCAGTGGAGCTGCTGAAGCGGAGACCCAGGCTCTAGGCTCAAATGCAGCCCCAAGAGGCAGGGGTGGCCATGGAAAAGAGCCCCTGCCACCCAGGAGAACGATTCGAGTCTCTCCAGGATGCTGTGGCAGTTATATCATCTCCTCCAACTTGAGCCAAGGGGTGGAGTCTAGCCTGTCTGTCAATCAGGTCGCAGCTTGATGACCTCATTTGGAGGCACGACGGAGATAAACAGCTCACTGGAGACCAGACCCACTCTCTGTCTTCCCTTTCCTGCTGTGGAGACACTCAGAGAGCTGGAGGAGACACGTGGAGACCCACGCCAGCTTTGAAATCCTTCCACCGCTGTTGGATCCACAAGACGTTCCACTTACAGGCCTGTGATCTTCCTACATTCGGCGTCATTGCTTGGTTGCATGAGTCTAAAGAGGAATGTATGGACCAGTGTCAGACATATGGGCTAATATCAGACTTACAGACTTGATCTGGACTTGGCTGGGATGTTCTCTCAATATTCAATTGCTCTTTTCTATAAAGCTCTTTCTGATACATACATGAGTGTCTATGAATTTGTTTCTCAAGTCAACCTGGACTCACCTGGATGCCAAACCACCATTTGGACGTGGTGCATGTCACCGAGCTCCAATACTGGGGGGGAGGTTAGAGAGACGGGGGTGCAGCCCTCAGGAAGGTGTAGACCTTTTTATGAAAAAAGGAAAGAAAACTCCCTGCCATCGAATCCCCTCTGCCTCAGAGTGAGCCTCCCCGACAGGCAGGACCTGCCCTGTGGGTTTCTGAAACTGGCTCTTTGTGGGAGTGGAGCACCCCTGTCTGTCTCCCGGGATAGAGACCTGGAAGGAAGGTCTGTGGAGAAATGCTAGCTTCCCATTTTGTGATTTTTGTTTAACAAATGGTTCTATGACTTTGTAGCAATAATGTGTGTGTGCGTGTGTCCCTGGTTGGTGTAAATGGTCAACATGTTCAGTGGCTAACCAAATGGCTAAATGTTTGTACCTCCTGCCCAGAGGTACTTTAGAAGAAAGGGCTGGTGACCTACTTCCAAAAGTTCCCCATTGAGAGTGCTGTAGAGCACCACTCTCCAATGAGATGAATGGGTGGTCGTGGAGTGGGACTGAGTGGGCAGCCACCTAGTGTATGTATCCATCTAGATCAATAGATGATAGATAGATAGATAGATGATAGATAGATAGATAGATGATAAACTGTGTGTGTGTGTGAAAGAGAGACATGCATATGCTCATGGAAACGGCAATCAAGAGATCAAAAAGCACATTCCCTGCATTGGGTCGATCGGTCGCACAGACTCTTGAAAATGTTGAAAAGCAAGGAGGTGACTTTGCGGACCGAGGAGCACCTGACCCAAGCCGTGGTGTTTCCAGTGGCCTCTTGTGCATGTGACGGTAGGTCCTTGAATAAGGACCTTGAATACGAAGACTCGATGCGGTTGGATTGGGGTGCTGGAGAAGGATTGAGAAGAATGTTGTCAGAACCATGGGCTGCTAAAAGGACACACAGCTCTACTTTGGAAGAAGTACGGCCAGACAAGGACTGAGTGACTTTGTCTCGTGCACTTGGACATGCTTTGTCAGGAGAGACCGGTCCCTGGAGAAGGACATCACGGCTGATGAAATGGGGGACAGCAAAAAGAGGATGACCCTTGACCAGCTGGACCGACATCGTGGCTGCACAGTGAGCTCGGCTCGTGGTGAGGATGGAGTGGGCCGGGGCAGTGTTTTGCTCTGTTGGCCACTGGGTCACTGTGAATCAGAACCAGCTTGGCAGCCCTTAGCAACAGCCTAACTATAAATCAGATCTTACTTTAGAACTGGGATGGCGTGTGGGTTTCGGGTATTCATGCATCTAGAACACACAGACCCAGGTATGGAGCCTCCCACCCTCCAAACTCCCGGAGGCTGCCTCCAGAGAAGCAGCGCGGGACGTCCCGGGGACTGGCAGTTGTGCGCGCCGAGCCCCGTTGGCCAGCTGCTGTTGATGTAAAGCTGTCTTGTCTTCTTGAAGTCTGACAGTCCCCTCTCACGCCATTTGGAAACCACAGACGCAGGTCCATTCAACGGGTCTGTTCAGCTCAAGCTTGGCCCAGTTTCTGGGCAGCCAGCCTGCTTTCAGAGAGAATGCAGGCAGGCACCACCGCGTCTCTCAGAACAGTCCTTTCAGCAGGACAGAGGCTCCGAGCACCATTCCCAGACAGGCTCTCACTTGGGATCCAAGACAGCTTTCTAGGCTGTCTTCTCCTGCCTACCCTCCCACAGCTATCTGCTGGCCTGCTCCAGAATAGCCTGGGCTGGCGTCCTCCGAAAGCTGCCCCACGGCTCTGGGGGCTGGAGCCAGCCTCCTGATATTTATAGCTAACAGCCCAGGTCCACTCAGGACAGCCGCTCACTTGGGACCCAGGCGAGCAGGAGTGCTGGTCAGTGTGAGGCAGCACAATGAACCGTGAGGATGACCACCCTGACTACCCGCTCAGCTCGGATCTAGTGACCCGACTGAAGCTGGCTCTGGATGCCGGGGACGAGGGCGAGGTCGAAACCTTGCTCTGCGCACAAGTCCAGCACGCAGATGCCACGATCGAGCTGGCCAATGACGACTGGATGAAGGAGCCCTCCGCCCAGCTGCCCACAGCGGTGCTTCTAGGTACACCAGCCGCACCTGTGTTTCCCGGGGCAGGGGCGGGGGACGGACGGGGGTGTCACTCCAGAGGCGGAAGAACAGGTGGATGGGAAAAGGCCAAGGCTCTGAGCTCGGCCATTGGATCTGGGCTTGTGTTTGTAGGTGTGTGTGGTCACTGGAGGTGTCTGTGGTCACTGAGGGTGGTCGCTGAGCTGAGCGATGCCCCCCCCCCAACGTGGGCCAGGTATAAGTGTGTCCAAAGGGCCCTCGGGGCTGTGACCTCCCAGGAACAGATCACCAGGCTTTTGCTCTGAGTCACCTTCAAGCCACCAACCTTTTTGCTGGCCATCAGTCAGGGACTCCTGCTAGGTACATGCATATGTATGTGTGTGTTTATGTATGTGTATGTGTGTGAGCATACACCTATATGTATGTGCACATATATGTATATACTGCATGCATGTGTACACGTGTGTTTGTGTGCATGTTTTATATGTATACGTAGTATGTGTGTACATGTGTGTGCGTGTGTATGTCTATATCTGTACATGTGTATGTGTGCCTACATGTGTGTGCTTGTATGTATGTGTGTCTCTGCCCATGTGTGTGCATGTGTGCATATGTGTGTTTGTGTGCATATGTGTGTGAGTGTATGTGTGCATATGTGCATGTGTATATGTGTCAGGAGCCCTGGTGGCACATGGTTACAGCACCCAGCTTCTCACGGAAAGGGCTGTGGTCAAAGCCACCAAATGCTCCATGGAAGAAGGACAGGGCAGTCTGCCTGCAGGACGATCCGCCACTGCCTTGGAAAGCTCACAGGGCAGGTCTTCCCTGTCCCAGAGGGGCAGTGTGAGCCAGAGTGGGCTTGACAGCAGTGGGGAGTATGTATGTAGACACACAAACACACACACACAGTGTGAGGCAGCACAGGGCGGGGTAGGGCTTGCTCTCTTGCACTTCAGGTCGCTGCACATCAGCCCAAGCCCCACGGCGCCTACCTCACAGCTAGCAACACAGACACGCACAGGTCTCCAGAGTGGGATCCGAAGATCATAGAATGTTCCCACACACGTTTTGAAGCGCACACACATCCTAACGCTTGGCTGTTTCCACCTCTCCATCTCCCCTCCCCCCGAGCGTGCCCACGGGGGTGTAAACCTCATCTATTTCTAGCCAAGGCATAAAGCACACTACGTGCTCCGCTCCTGTGAGTTAATGCATCCGAAAGATGCTCCGTGTTGCCACAAAGCCTTCTTAATTTCAATAGCCTATTAACGTGATTGCCCGTGAAGTACTTAAAGGAGGCCTACAACAGGAGAATGGCTATTTACACTCTAACTTTTGTAAGTAATGCTGTCATTAGCATCTGCAGCACCAGCGGCGTTTCCCTAGTCCAGCTTGGGATCCTGAGGATAAGCCCTAGGGGCAGCATGGCCGGAAGGGGAAGATCGGGTGTTCCTTTGTTCTCCCAAAGGGCCTTTCACACCACCTGACCCAGGATAGTCTGGCCTGACTGGTTGGTGGGATTCCCGCCAGCAGTCCCTCTGGCCTGCTCGGGATCAAGCTTCCGCACCCCACCCACACAGCCCCACCAACAGCCTGGCCCCAAGCCTTTGGTGGTCTCTGTAACTCTCCCCTCCTGTGACTTCTCTGTGTGTGTCCTGGAACAGTCACACGCACCACCCCCCACCCCCGTTGTCGCATCTTCTTGTTCATTTGGTGGACTGCTTCAGGAGGCACACACCTGCCCTCCGCACCCCAGATGGCGCACACCCCCCGCTTCCTTTGACAGAGGGCTTCTTTCCCGTGTTTGCCCTAAGCGATACATGCTTGTGTGTGCTATTTTCGTGGGCATGTGATATGTGGAAAATTCCATCCCACAGACCCATCACCCATGTTGCTGAGAACCTTGGCCCCGGCCTTCGGCTCACTTTCAAGATCATTGTGCTATTTTCTAGGTGCCCCAGGTGGTCTCACAGGGCTCCTCTCCTCTCACCACTTAGACTCCCTCCCGACACACATGTGCACATGCGTGCACTCTCGTGTTCCTTAACCCTGACTGAGCCGCATCTCTCTGAGCAAGGATGCTGTCCGCGGTTCAGAGGGCAGCGTCAGCACACTGTCTGTGTGAACTACGAATGCTCCCAACTGTACGGGACAGAAACCACAACTCACCGTGGTCACCAGATAGTTCCGGGGCTAGCCTGGCGGGCAAGGAGCCCTGGTGGTAGAGCAGGCTGCGCTCTGACGCTAACCTCAAGGTCAGACGCTTGGGCCCACCAGCCGCTCCTCAGGAAAAAGACGAGGCTGTCCACTCCTGTAAAGTGTCTCAGAAACCCACGGGGACGGTCCTCCCCGTCCTGCAGGGTCACTGCGGGCCTGAATCGATGAGTCTGCAGGGCCTGCAGGTTGGCCACCAGAGCTGAGGCTGACGCGTGGAAACAGACTTAGAAGGGGCCTCCAGCCGTTCGTGGGAAGACGGATTTAAAAGACGTTGGGACTTTCCCGCGCACTTTCTAAAACCCTGTTGCACCCGCAGGCACACACGCACAGCCAGGAACGGGCCCTTTCTGTGACGCAGAGAGCCGCTGCAGGCTGACACCCCCTGGGGGACCTGGTGGGGGCAGAGACTGAGGGTGTGGGGGGTGCTTTCCTGCCTGCAGCTGGGCTGCGTTCCTCCGGCTGCCTCTCCCTGGGGCTACATCACTCCCCAGGAGAAAGAGGAGGCTGTCTGTCCCGTAAAGGTTTATGGTCTCGGGAACCCTATGGAAGGTCACAATGGTCGTGGGTTTGCGGCTGGGGTTTTAAGCAAACTCACAAGAGCTCAGCTGCGTACCAAAAGGTTGGCAGTTCGAACCCACCCAGAGGCTGCTCAGGAGAAAGACCTGGTAAGCTGGCCCCATAAGGACCACAGCCTGGGACACCCCGGGGGCAGTGCTGCTCTGAGTGGAGACGCCACGGCACACCACACCAGCCAGCAAGCGACCACATTCAGGCCTTAGCGGAAGCTCCACCTTGTTTTCCTAGGTTTTACTAATACCTGAAGGGCCGGGCGGAGCCCCAACCGTGCAATGGGTTAAGTGTCCACCGCTAGCTGAGAGGTCAGCGGGTCAAGCCCCCCAGCTGCTCCGGGGAGAGAGAAGAGGTTGTCTGCACCCATAAAGATGCACCCTCAGAAAGCCTCCAGAGCAGGACCACGCCGCCTCACGGAGTTGGGAGGACTGAGCAGTGAGCCGCTTGGCCAGGGGTCCTCAAACTACGGCCCTGCGGGCCACTTGCGCCCCGCTGAGGACATTTATCCGGCCCCCCAGGTGTTTGTGCCGCCACTGCCTGTCCTGCTTAGCAGCCAACTCGTCCAGGGTGCATAGGAATTTGTTCATAGTTTTTTTAAAACTATAGTCCGGCCCTCCGAGGGTCAGTGAACTGGCTCCCTGTTTTAAAAGTTTGAGGACCCCTGTGCGTGGCTGTAGTAGGATCGCGACCTCATCAGCTGCGGGACCCACTCTGTCCCTCAGGGTCACACGCGGCTGGGCTGAGAGGCCCAGGAGGGTCCTGTGATTTCCTTTTCCCTCCAGCTGCCCTGCACCCTGAACTCCCTGTGGGGTGCGGCCAGTGGAAGTCCCCAGCAGGAGGGGGAGCATGGGCGTGGCTCTGGGACCCTCCCCTGACAGGCGCAGGCCTCTCCCTCACTGAAGCTCCTCCTTTGGCCCCTTGCCCCTCCAGGTGGGACAGGAAAGAGCTCCTTGACCGTTCCATGGGGACCCTGGTGGCTCGACAAACCCAAAGATCAGCAGTTCGAAGCCAGCCCTTCTTCTGGAGAAAAATGAGGCAGTCTGCTCCCGTGGAGACTGCCAGGCTGGGGAACCCTCTGGGGCAGCTGGACTCTGCCCCTACAGGGTTACACCCTGTGAGTTGGCACCCACTCGAAGGCAGCAGGTTTGGGTTTGGGGCCTGCTCCCCCACCCCCAGGGTTTCTCTGAACCCTGTCACACCTTTGCTGTGATTCTATCCAGACCAGAGAGGTGCACACATCCAGGCAGCTGGTGGAGTGTGTGTTTGGAGAGCCTCGGCTTAGACGAGGCTGCGCTCGGCGGCACAGTCCATGGACCGCGCGCGAGAAGGACACCCTGAGCTCGCTTGGAAGAAGCACAGCCAGGGCGCTCCTTCGAGGCAAGGGTGGCGAGGCTTCCTCTCACGTGCTCTGGACCCCTTGTCAGGAGGGGCCTGTCCCTGGAGAAGGACAGCATGTTTGGTAAAGTGGAGGGGCAGCGAAAAGGAGGAAGACCCTCAAGGAGATGACCGAGACTGGCCATCTCTGGGGCATCCCAGGGATTCAGGGGCAATCTCCAGGAACCAGACCAAATCCCAGACCCACTGCCGCCAAGTCCATTCGACTCACAGCAACCCCAGAGGACAGGGTAGAGCTGCCCCTGTGGGTTTCTGGGGCCCTCACTCATTACAGGAGCCGAAAGCTTCATCTCTCTCTTACAGAGGGGCTGGTGGGTTGGAACTGCTAACCTTGTGGTTAGCAGGCTAATGTGTTACCCATTACATCACCAGAGCGCCTCTTACTGGAACAAGGCCAGCCCTGTTCTGCACGCCCACACTGTATGTCCAGGCGATGACCATCAACTCTGACTGCGCTTCAAGCTCAGGGGGCAGGCACAGGAACCTCCGGGAGAGCAGCGCAGGACCAGGCAGCGTTTGGTTCTGGCTTTCCGTGCGGTCACTATGGGTCAGAACCAACTCTGCTGCACCTTCGCAGCGACAGCCACAGCCCTGCAAAGCCCCTTCTTCCCTGGGCCCAGCTGGTGCCCGTGAAATGCACACTGATGAAACTGCATTCCTCCCACAACCATCTCAGTAAGTAAGAAACCACCTGTCTGAAAGGGTTGTTGTGAGCCGCCGTTGCATCGGCCAACCCCACGCACAACGGAACAGCCCGCCGTCCAGTCCCACGTCAACCTCACGGCCAGTTGCTGGGCCTCCTATTGTGATCCTTAAAGTTTCCCGTGGCCAGTTTCCAAAAGGGGACAGCCTGGCCTTTCTTCCCACTTTGCTTTAGTCCAGGAGCTCCATCGCGATGGGTTCACAAGCCTCCATGGGCAGACGGGCGGTGGCCATAAATGAGGTGCGTGGCCAGGAATCGAACCCAGGTCCCCTGGTGGAAAGGTTGAGAATTCGACCACAGAGCCACCAATGGCTCCGCTGTGGATGACGCACTCACAGGTGTGTCTCTCTGCCGGATGAGGAGTGAATGACACAGAGTGGAGCTTTGAACCGAAGGGCCGGAGCGTGATCTCTGGGGCGATGAGAAGGGACTAGATTGGGCTCAATCAGGTGGTTGATGATGCCACCTGTCCCCCCTGCACAGTGAGGCCTCAGCACAAACTCTGGCCACGGAGGCTCGGGCCAGCTCCCCGATGGACAGGACCCTGGAAGATTTTGTAAAGCCTCGTGGTTGGGGCCTGTGTTAGTCTGGGTACTTTAGAGAAACAAATCCACAGAAACTCATGTATAAGAGAAAATTTTATATAAAGGTTAAGTGCACATCAAGAAAACATCCCAACCCAGTGCTGCCCAAGCCCACGGGTCCAACCCAGCTCTGTCAGGACACATGCTCTCAGTTACAACATATGATCTCAGTCACGTGCCATCTCTGTCAGAACACATGATCTCAGTTAAAACATATGATCTTAGTCAGAACACGCCATCTCCCTCTCCATCCCTTCCTGGAAGGGCCAGTCTTGCTGGACAATGCCTACAATTCCACTGGACCATCAAACTCAAGCCCAAGCTCCTCAAGGGCAGGAATCCAAGTCCTGGGAGGCTGTTACCATGCCCTCGGCGGCTGATGGGGAGGGCGGTGGTTGATCCCACCCAAGGATTCTGCTCCACGTCCGCATAAAGCAACGCAACTCGTCACAACTGGACCATGACCAAGCATCGCGGTCAATGTGATGAAGCAGAGAGCAGACGGACATTGTCAAGGATGCGGTTTCCTTGGCACCACGATCACCTCCCACGGGAGCCGCCATCAGGAAGTCACATGATGCGCTGCACTGAGCACGCCTGTTGCAGAAGATCTCTTTAAAGTCTTTAAAAGCCGAGGCCTCACTTTGGAGACTGAGGTTCCCCTGAGTCACACTATGGTTATTTTCAATCTCTTGTAGACATCATTCGCCAGGAAGGCTCAAGACAAGGGGAACCTTTGAGTGGGGTGTGGGCAAAGCATGGTGACCACACAGGATGGCCAGAGCCTTGAACAAGTGCACCCTGGGAGCAGGGCAGCCAGGACGCTCCTTAGAGGTGAGCAACTTCATCTCACAGTCTTTAGACTTGTTATCGGGAGTGACCAGTCCCTGGAGAAGGACACCATGCTCAGTGAAGCAGAGGGTCAGCGATAAAGAGGAAGACCCTCAACAAGATGGCCTGAAAACGGTGCTGGAAAAGCTGGATGTCCACGTGCAGAAGAACGAAACAAGACCTAAAATCTCACTCCACGCACAAAGACTAACTCAAGGTGGGTCAAAGACCTGGATGTAAAACCCACAGCTCTCGGGATCATTGGTGAGAAAATCAGGACAGAGCTAGGAGCCCTAGTGCAGGGAATACACGGGCTACCAGAGCTAACAATGGAAACACGCTGCGGAAGATAAAATAGATGAGTGGGACCTATCAAAAATAAAACACTCGTGTGCATTGAAAGAGTAAAAAGAGTCCATAGACTGGGAAAAGATATTTAGTAGCAACATAACAGACACAGGACTAATTACCAAAATCTACAGCATTTTAAAATCTATAACAAGAATATAACTAATAGTCTCTGAGAAGGTGGACACAGGACCTGAACAGATGATTCACAACGGAGGACACGCGAATGGCTGACAGGCACATCACACGAATGGCTGACAGGCACATGAGGAAATGCTTCCGGTCATTAGCCTTCTGGGAAGTGCAAATCAAAACA